AAAGGCTCAGCAGGCAAATGTAACAACGAATTGCAACAAAAATGTTACAAACAGCAATGATGAATAACTTTTTGCAAGCAACAATAAAAGCTGTCAAGCTATTGTGTTCCTACGAGGTACAGTCTGTACAGAGGTCACACAAAATGAACAAATAACTGAGAGATATCACTTTAAAATAAAGTTTGTAGTTAATAATGAATAATAAGTGCCACTGGAGGATTAAAGATTGAGATCAGATAATAGACCTAGTCAGTGTGGCGCCATATTTAATTTTTGGCAGGAATACAAACAAAGCTGTGAGCGACAATGGATTCTACACTGATTGAAAAATTGGAAAAATCGGAAAAATCCGAATAAAACTTTCAGTGGACATAAACTCCAAACAACAGTTTTGAAAGTTGTGAGTTATGAAACTGATCTAGGTTCAGTGTGTGCCATTGTAAAGACTCTAAGTCTATCACAGCCTCGTTTTCAACAGCGTAAAATTCAATATGACGTCTAACGAAAATTAGGTCTATCCTGGCTAAAGGCACATATTATTTATTGCATTTCCTTGTTATTTAGATGCTTTTAAATGACTCACTGACAGCATCAGTCAAATGTTTTGAGACAGATATCTTATCAGGTTAGCTCTGAGGATTTTTTCTGTGTTTGTCACTCATTAAAAAGCAAGGGATAGCTTCTGGTGCATTATTTACCGGTATTTTCTTTTCTTCTATAGGTGTCACGTGTCAACTGAAAACTTGTTGGTAGTTCAAGGCCGAAGTGGCTCAAATAGATAGTAATGCCTGTCAAAGAGTTTCAGATGGCGCCATCTCCTGGACAATAGACAAACAGACACAGGGCAAGAGTCAAGGATGGAGCTTTTTCGCTACTAATGCTCAAAACAAAACAAAAAATGTAGGGAGAGACACTGCAGGCAAAAACACTGTTTTTTCATGCACCTGTCAATTTTGAGATTTTGGGCGTTTTGGTTTTTCATAAATTTTTTCAGACTAGTGGAAAGAAAACATGCAAAAGACACTGTTAAGTGTTTCTTTTATAGCACTTGATCTATTTGTGTCAATAGATTTCAATTACAATACATATTTTTAAAGGCCGTTTCTCAAAATGAGTTTTTTCTCCAACATTTAGCCATAAATCTCCACTTCAGTAGCACTTACACACACCAAACTTTTTTTTATTCCTGTCTATATTCTGAAGGTTTTTACAGAGGGATTTGTTCATATATAATTTTCTTGATTATATACAACATTTGATTCCCCCCAAAATTGTGAAAACATATTGTTTTCTGGCTGTTCAAAGTATTTTCTGAATTATGGAGTCACAAAAAGAGATACCCAGAATTCCCTCTGTAAAAACATTTGACTCTAATATGTCAAAAAAAAAATTAAACAAGAATTTTGAAACGGACTTTTTTGTACTAGAAATGTATGCAAATTAGCGCATATTTCATTAAATAATGCCTCATTTGCATATTTAAACATAACATTTTAGAAAACTTGTAATACAGAAAATGTTTGCAATTATCAATGTAATCAATCAACTGGGTAAGGTGATAACTATTAGTTAATTTTTTTTTACCCTATTAACCTGCAGTGTCCCGCCTTTAAATAGCATAAAATAATAAAATAAAATAAACTAGTTCCTCAAAATAATTACATAAATAGCTACATGTTGGCCTATTCATTACATATTTATGCAATAAACAAGAGCACTTATGTAGCCTAAATCTGAGCTGTGATTTTGCCCAACAAAATAAAACGAAATTAAATTAAACTGAGTTAAATTAAAAGATTATTTTAAAAGTTGGCACTTCAGATAGGCTATCTTGACAAATATAGATAGATAGATAGATAGATAGATAGACAGATAGATAGATAGATAGATAGATAGATAGATAGATAGATAGATAGATAGATAGATATGTATCGGTGCAAATAACTTCTAAAACGGGGTGTAAATGTGAGAAGTCTACTAATTTGTCTCTAATTTTTAAGTACAAAATTTGGGATTAGCTAATATGCCAATCGTACTCTGACTATTTTAGATATTAGATAATTGAGAAGGGTGAAGAAAGCTTTGGTGTTATAAAGCGGAGCACCATTTATCTTTAATATTCCATATTCCGATGTGGATCCATGCCTGCAGGTTTTATGCACAGCCTATTTCCAAAATGTGGAAATTTAAATAAGTATAAATAAAATCGAATAAATAAATATAAGTAGCCTATGAATAAAATCGAATGACAGAAATAAGGAAATTGTTTGATCAGTGTCAGATACACTGTAAAAAAATCCCGTAAAAAAACGGTAAAATTCCGGCAGCTGGGGTGCCGGAAAAATACCGTAAAATAACAGGCACATTAAATAACAGTAATTTTATGAAAATATTATATTATTAATGCTATATATATATATATAGAGAGAGAGAGAGAGAGAGAGAGAGAGAGAGAGAGAGAG